ATTACTGTCAGGTTATCTCCATCAGTAACCACCAGTTGTGATATCATGTATTACTGTCAGGTTATAGTATCTCCATCAGTAACCACCAGTTGTGATATCATGTATTACTGTCAGGTTATAGTATCTCCATCAGTAACCACCAGTTGTGATATCATGTATTACTGTCAGGTTATCTCCATCAGTAACCACCAGTTGTGATATCATGTATTACTGTCAGGTTATAGTATCTCCATCAGTAACCACCAGTTGTGATATCATGTATTACTGTCAGGTTATAGTATCTCCATCAGTAACCACCAGTTGTGATATCATGTATTACTGTCAGGTTATAGTATCTCCATCAGTAACCACCAGTTGTGATATCATGTATTACTGTCAGGTTATAGTATCTCCATCAGTAACCACCAGTTGTGATATCATGTATTACTGTCAGGTTATAGTATCTCCATCAGTAACCACCAGTTTCTCCCAATACTCCAGACCAGTAACCCCCCTCCCCTCCTCCCCAAACACACACACACACCTCCTTTTAGTCTTTCTTCAACAGCTGGTAGTTAGTAGTCTTTCGTTTGTTTACGGTGCTTACTGCTAACCTAACCATGGGATCAGACTGAACATAATCGGGTACGCATTTATGAACTGTAAGCAATTTTAAACACTTTTTTAAAACTGGATAGCTAGCTAGTTATATAGCATCGGTGAAGTTCTCCATATGGATATACGTTTTTCAATGTAATGGCTAACAAATGCATTGGCCAGGTGGTGGATTGAGTAAATTGAACAGAGAAAAACAAAACGTTAAAGTAAGTTAACGTTATAGGTATTACATTTAGTTAGTTAATTAGCTATAAGCATGATATATTACTATATTTAAACAGTAAGCAACATAGATTAGCAAAATTAGCCATCTGGCTAGCGAATAAACTAGGCTGAACCGGTAGCTAACCATGACAACTGCAGCGATACCGTTACACTTTAGCCAGCTGTTCTAATCTCCTTGGGAAACAATGTATAGCTTTCTTCCTCTGTATCGTCTGCAAACACATTCCGGAGAGTGCCACGGTCTTGTGTAGTCTTTACTGTAATTGTGTGTGAAAGATATAACTTTGGTTGGATGCCATTTTCTTGTTAACATTGGATTTGAATTCGGCCACCTGTAGCATACTGTACTTTTGTTGCTAGCCGATTCTCAATCAAACTTTAATCATTCTAGCTAGTTTTTTTTTTTGTACATTCGGCGAACAGTTCTGAGTATGATTGACAGCCATGTAAACCAATGACAGGACAGAAAAGTTATGTGTACACTATCGTTACCATGGTTACTCGTTGACATTACAAGATTCTGGAAAACGGAGGCGGGACAGTAGTTAAGCACGGGTGGATGCACTTTCAAGGTGTATGGATTTTCGACCAGCAATTTACGGACAATAATTACAAAGTTTGTAAACTATCTTTATATTCCTTATAAACACAAAGACTGAAGCCCAAATGACGACAGTGCAGTGCTAGTGATACAATTAACAACTTGTTGTCATTTTTCGTTAGAATCTTAGCTTGTTAGCTACACTTGCTATAGGTACCTAGCTAGCTACCGTAGCCAGCGAACTAAATTAGCTCTCTGTTCTCGTCCTCTCTTGCAAACAAGCTGCTAAGCTTAGCTAGTTCTCTCTTTGGCTGAGTTTAGCTCACTTGTAGGTTTGTCAGCAGTTAGCAAACATTGCTTGTTAGCCTCCTCTCCTCTCTCCACACCCTCTAGCTATCTTGTTGCCACGCAACTGTATGCCCTCCTGTCTTCAACACCTGTGGAAAGGTGAGTCGCGAGTTACCGCCCTCGGTTTTGAAATCATCCTTCCCATTGAACAATGCAATGCGTCTTCTAACCCCACCCACGGGCAGGTGTGGTTTTGTGTCAGTGGTGGAGGTGCATTCATTCACCAAGGGGGTGTTGTAGAATGCAGTAATCCTTCCTTGGCATTCTACATGGCATTGCGTTTAAAATGTATTTGGTGTTTATTTATCTCATAGTTCTTTCCTTTATATGACTTCTTGAAGGAGTGTACACTTGGAGGACCTTTCCTTCTTTTCTCCATGGTTGTAAGACAGTGCTTCCCAAACCTCTCCTTGAGTTCCCCCCCAAACCGTTCAACTTATTTGATATATTCCAGTGCTATTCTACTAGTCAACTAAGCACCAAGCCCTTCATTGGTAAAATCAACTGGAAATCAAATCACATTTTATTTGTCACATGCGCCGAATACAACAGCTGTAGACCTTACAGTGAAATGCTTACTTACAAGCCCTTTAGCAACAATGCAGTTTTAAGACAAACAAGAGTTATGAAAATTATTTACTAAATAAACTAAAGTAAAAAAAAAATAAAGAGCAACAATAAATAAAAAAATAATGAGGCTATATACAGGGGGTACTGGTACCGAGTCAATGTGGGGGGTACAGGTTAGTCGAGGTAATTGAGGTAATATGTACATGTAGGTAGGAGTAAAGTGACTATGCATAGATAATAAACAGCGAGTAGCAGCATCGTAAAAAAAGGGGGGGGGGGGGTTAATGCAAATAGTCCGGTTAGCCATTTGATTAGCTGTTCAGCAGTCTTATGGCTTGGGGGTAGAAGCTGTTAAGCGCTCCGGTACCGCTTGCCGTGCGGTAGCAGAGAGAACAGTCTATGACTAGGGTGGTTGGAGTCTTTGATAATTTTTAGGGCCTTCCTCTGACACCGCCTGGTATAGTGGTCCTGGATGGCAGGAAGCTTGGCCCCAGTGATGTACTGGGCCGTATGCACTAACCTCTGTAGTGCCTTGCGGTCGGAGGCCGAGCAGTTGCCATACCAGGTAGTGATGCAACCAGTCAGGATGCTCTCGATGGTGCAGCTGTATAACTTTTTGAGGATCTGGAACACATCAAATAAGTGTGGAACAGCTTGGGGTACTCAAGGAGAGGTTTGGGAAACACTGCTACCAACCCCAATGGTACTGTGCTGACTCAAATGTGTTCCTTTCAGGCATGTGGCTTGATTGTTGTTATATTGGCTCCTGCCCTCTGTGTGTTGTATTGGCTACCATCAGATATACTCACAATGAGTCCTTGGTGCTGTTTGTCCCTCCTGTCTCTCTGTAGGTGACCCCCTGCCTGACCTGTGACAAGTCACATCATCATCAGAGAGTGGCACCAGCATGGCAGGGCTGGCGTTGGAGTGGAGGGGCTGACGCCAAGCTCTCACCCTCCTGACACATTGTTTTGAAAGCCCTCGACACTAGAACGAGACAGGGAGGAAAAGCATTAGAGGGAGAGGGAGACAGGGGAAGGAGATAGAGGGGGAAGAAGGGAGGAGAGGAGAGAGATTAAGCCTCATCAAAAGAAACAGCAGTTCTCTTCACCATGCCTTACCATGCCAATAAAGCTCATTGAATGGAATGGAGTCGACAAAACTCACATCAGTATATTCAACCCCTCTCCTCTTCCTGGTTGTTGTTCTAGGCCTAAATTACAATATGTTCTCAGTCAACTTACCTGGTAGCATAAGGGTTGGATAAATAACATCAGTCATCTTATCTGGTAACATAAGGGTTGGATAAATAACATCAGTCAGTTTATCTGGTAACATAAGGGTTAGATAAATAACATCAGTCATTTTATCTGGTAACATAAGGGTTAGATAAATAACATCAGTCAGTTTATCTGGTAACATAAGGGTTAGATAAATAACATCAGTCAGTTTATCTGGTAACATAAGGGTTGGATAAATAACATCAGTCAGTTTATCTGGTAACATAAGGGTTGGATAAATAACATCAGTCAGTTTATCTGGTAACATAAGGGTTGGATAAATAACATCAGTCAGTTTATCTGGTAACATAAGGATTAGATAAATAACATCAGTCAGCTAGTCAGTTATCTCGGAACATACAAAAGGGTTGGTAAATAACATTCACAGTCAAACTACTGGTAGCATAAGGGTTGGATAAATAACATCGTCAGTTATCTGGTAACATAAGGGTTGGATAAATAACATCAGTCAGCTTATCTGGTAACATAAGGTTGGATAAATAACATCAGTCAGCTTATATGGTACATAAGGGTTGGACTAAATAACATCAGTCATCTTATCTGGTAAATAAGGGTTAGATAAATAACATCGTCAGTTTTGGTAAATAAGGGTTGGAGAAATAAATCAGTCAGTTTATCTCGGTAACAACATAAGGGTTGGATAAATACATCAGTCAGTTTATCTGGCTAACATCGAGGGTTAGATAAATAACATCAGTCGCTTATCTGGTAACATAGGTTGGATATAAATAAACATCAGTCAGCTTATCTGGTAACATAAGGGTTAGATAAATAACATCAGTCAGCTTATCTGGTAACATAAGGGTTGGATAAATAACATCAGTAAAGTCTTATCTGGTAACATAAGGGTTAGATAAATAACATCAGCGTTTATTGGAACATAGGTTGATAATAACTAGTAGTTATGGAACATAGGGTTAGATAAATAACATCAGTCAGCTTATCTGGTAACATAAGGGTTGGATAAATAACATCAGTCAGCTTATCTGGTAACATAAGGGTTAGATAAATAACATCAGTCAGCTTATCTGGTAACATAAGGGTTAGATAAATAACATCAGTCAGTTTATCTGGTAACTAAGGTTAGATAAATAACATCAGTCAGCTTATCTGGTAACATAAGGGTTGATAAATAACATCAGTCAGCTTATCTGGTAACTAAGGGTTGGATAAAATAACATCAGTCAGTTTATCTGGTAACATAAGGGTTAGATAAATAACATCAGTCAGTTTATTTGGTAACATAAGGGTTAGATAAATAACATCAGTCAGCTTATCTGGTAACATAAGGGTTGGATAAATAACATCAGTCAGCTTATCTGGTAACATAAGGGTTGGATAAATAACATCAGTCAGCTTATCTGGTAACATAAGGGTTGGATAAATAACGTACAATAACAGAACAACGAGTCAAAACAATGTTCAGACAGACGGACACCTCGTCCAAGAGACGTCATGGAGGACATGGGGGCAGCGGGGATCGTATCCGGGGGGTGGAGGTGGCCAGGGGGAGGGCAGGGTATGGGTTCACCCTCTCTGGCCAGGGCCCCTGTGTCCTCAGCTGCATTCTAAAAGGAAGTCCGGCGGACTACGTGGGTCTCCGCTCCGGTGACCACATCCTGTCCGTGAACGACATAAACGTCTCCAAGGCGTCGCATGAGGACGTCGTCAAGCTGATTGGCCGATGCACGGGGGTTCTGCACCTGGTCGTCGCCGAGGGAGACCGGGGAGGCCGTCGTCACGGACACGGTGGTACCAACCGCAACCGTCGCCACGGAAACAATTCAGGAAGTCCAGCCGGAGGAGCGGCAGCTGCCGCGGACTCGTGCTCCAGCGACGAGGAGTTGTGTGGTTTCCATAACAACAGCAGCAGAGGCGGCAACAACAACAACAGCGTGAAGCCGGGTTCTCGCGGTAACAGCGCCAGCGGTGGTGGTGGTGGTGGAGGAGGAGGGGGTGGTGGTTGGTTCAAGCCCAAGCTGGACTCCAAGACCCTGGGTATTAACAGGGCAGAGAGGGTGGTGGCGGAGATGCAGTCTGGAGGAATATTCAACATGATCTTTGATAACTCTTCACACTCCTCCAGCAGCTCGGAGAAAGGTATCAATCTGCCTGTTTTAATATATCACGTTTTTTTAATATACTGTTTGACATCACATTTTGGGCTGGTTTCCCAGACACATTTTAACGGAGATGCTTTTTAGTCCAGGACTAACTCGGCTTAATCTGTGTCTGGTAAACTGGCCCTTTATGTACAGTGCATTCGGAAAGTATTCAGACCCCTTGACTTTTTCCACATTTTGTTACGTTACAGCCTTATTCTAAAAATGATTAAATAGTTTGTTCCCCCTCATCAATCTGCACACAATACCCCATAATGACAAAGCATAGGGTCATTGTCCCCAGTCTGAGGTCCTGAGTGCTCTGGAGTAGGTTTTCATCAAGTATCTCTCTGTACTTTGCTCCGTTCATCTTTCCCTCGATCCTGACTAGTCTCACAGTCCCTGCCACTGAAAAACATCCCCACAGCATGATGCTGCCACCACCATGCTTCACCGTAGGGATGGTGCCAGGTTTCTTCCAGACGTGACGCTTGGCATTCAGGCCAAAGAGTTCAATCTTGGTTTCATCAGACCAGAGAATCTTGTTTATCATGGTCTGAGAGTCCTTTAGGTGCGTTTTGGCAAATTCAAAGCGGGCTGTCATGTGCCTTTTACTGAGGAGTGGCTTCCGTCTGGCCACTCTACCATAAAGGCCTGATTGGTGGAGTGCTGCAGAGATGGTTGTCCTTCTGGAAGGTTCTCCCATATCCACAGATGAACTCTGGAGCTCTGTCAGAGTGACCATCGGGTTCTTGGTCACCTCCCTGACAAAGGCCCTTCTCCCCCGATTGCTCAGTTTGGACCGGGCGGCCAGCTCTAGGAAGAGTCTGGGTGATTCCAAACTTCTTCCATTTAAGAATGATGGAGGCCACTGTGTTCTTGGGGACCTTCAATGCTGCAGAAATTTTTTGGTACCCTTCCCCAGATCTGTGCCTCGACACAATCCTGTCTCGGAGCTCTACGGACATTTCCTTCGACCTCATGGCTTCGTTTTTGCTCTGACATGCACTGTCAACTGTGGGACCTTATATAGACAGGTGTTTGCCTTTCCAAATCATGTCCAATCAATTGAATTTACCACAGGTGGACTCCAATCGAGTTGTAGAAACATCTCAAGGATGATCGATGGAAACAGGATGCACCTGAGCTCAATTTCGAGTCTCATAGCAAAGGGTCTGAATACTTATGTATGTTTTTATCTTTAATACATCTGCCAAAATTTCTAAAAAACAGTTTTCGCTTCGTCATTATGGGGTATTGTCTGTAGATTGAGAGGATTTCTTTTTCATTGAATCCATTTTAGAATAAGGCCGTAACGTAACAAAAATAAGGAAAAAGTCAAGGGGTCTGAATACTTTCTGAATACACTGTATGTATGTTTCTGTACCACCATGTTCAAATAAACTAAACCTAACCCTAAACCTGAACCTAAACCTAAACTTGACCCTAAACCTAATCCTAAAGACAGGGTCATCGCTCCTCCTCCTCCTCCTCCTCCCCGTGCCTCCTCTTCCTCCTCTGCGTCGGCCAAGCCTGCGAGGCCCCTGTCAGAACCAGAGTTCCCCCCGTACCATAACGGCCGGGGCCGGTCCCGCAGCAACCCCAACCTGCTCTCTGAGGAGGAGATGGCCAGGGTTCTAATGACCGATGACTCCGTGTTCCTAGATGGGTTCCATCTGCAGGAGGCAGAGGTCCAGGTGAATACTGAGGATGTGTCCCAGATGGCACTATTCACTTTTGACCAGAGTCCTACTACCCCTCCTGATTCAAATGCGGAAGACACATTTCAGTTGAATGCATTCAGTTTTACAACTGACTAGGTATCCCCCTTTCCTTTGATACCCACACAGCTACATTATCAGCTAGGTTTGATACCCACACAACTATCATTATCAGCTAGGTTTGGAAACCCCCACAAGCTACATTGGTCAGCTAGGTTTAATACCCACACAACGACATTATCAGCTAGGTTTTGATAACCCACACAACTACATTATCAGCTAGGTTTTGATACCCACACAGCTACATTAGTCAGCTAGGTTTATACCCACACACTACATTATCAGCTAGGTTTGATACCCCACACAACTACATTTCAGCTAGGTTGATACACCACAAACTACATTTCAGCTAGGTTTGATACCCACACAACACATTTCAGCTAGGTTTGATACCCACACAACTACATTATCAGCTAGGTTTATACCCACACAACTACATTATCAGCTAGGTTTGATACCCACACAACTACATTATCAGCTAGGTTTGATACCCACACAACTACATTATCAGCTAGGTTTGATACCCACACAACTACATTATCAGCTAGGTTTGATACCCACACAACTACATTGTCAGCTAGGTTTGATACCCACACAACTACATTATCAGCTAGGTTTGATACCCACACAACTACATTATCAGCTAGGTTTGATACCCACACAACTACATTATCAGCTAGGTTTGATACCCACACAACTACATTATCAGCTAGGTTTGATACCCACACAACTACATTATCAGCTAGGTTTGATACCCACACAACTACATTTCAGCTAGGTTTGATACCCACACAACTACATTATCAGCTAGGTTTGATACCCATACCACAACTAAACATTATCAGCTAGGTTGATACCCACACACCAAACTACAGTGATACAGCTCGGTTTGATACCCCCACACACAATCCCAAACTATCAGCTAGGTTTGATACCCACACAACTACATTATCAGCTAGGTTTGATACCCACAACACTACATTATCATAGTCAGCTAGGTTTGATACCCACACAACTACATTATCAGTAGGTTTGATACCACACAACTACATTTCAGCTAGTTTTGATACCCACACAACACATTATCAGCTAGGTTTGATACCCACACAACTACATTATCAGCTAGGTTGATACCCACAACACACAGCAGCACCCACACAATACATTATCAGCTAGGTTTGATACCAACACACACTAGATACATTATCAGCTAGGTTTGATACCCACACAACTACATTGTACCCACACTACATTATCACTAGGTTTGATACCCACACAACTACATTATCAGCTAGGTTTTAATTACCACACAACTACCTTCTCAGCTAGGTTTTGATACCCACACAAATACATTATCAGCTAGGTTTGATACCCACACAACTACATTATCAGCTAGGTTTAATACCCACACAACTACATTATCAGCTAGGTTTGATACCCACACAACTACATTATCAGCTAGGTTTTACATCAGTGAATGTTGGAGTAATGTTTTTACGGCCTCCCTCTTTCCAGGTGGAGGTGGAAGGGGAGGACTTCTGCCTGGAGCCCAGCGAGGGTATCCTGAACGTGGGTATGATGGTAGGGTACCTGGGCTCCATAGAGCTGGCCTCTACAGGGGCTAGTCTGGAGAGCGACAGTCTGCAGGCCATCAGAGGAAGCATGAGACGACTCAGGGCAGAACAGAAGATACACTCCCTGGTCCTCATGAAGGTACGGGTTGCTTTGGATTGGTTGAACGTTTGGTTGGTTGGTTGGTTAGTTGGTAGGTTGGTTTATTGATTGAATGGTTGATTGGTGGGTTGGTTTATTGATTGAATGGTTAGTTGGTTAGTTGATTGGTAGGTTGGTTTATTGATTGAATGGTTGGTTGGTTGGTTAGTTGATTGGTGGGTTGGTTTATTGATTGAATGGATGGTTAGTTTAGATTGGTTTATTGATTGAATGGTTGGTTGGTTGGTTTATTGATTTAATGGTTGGTTGATTGGTTGGTTGGTTGGTTGGTTGGTTGATTGAATGGTTGGTTGGTTGATTGAATGGTTGGTTGGTTGAATGGTTGGTTGGGTGGGTGGTTGGTTGATTGAAATGTTTAGATGCCATATCTCTAAATGGTACTTTGACCCTGTGCTCTAACCTGTGGGTGGGTCTCGGGGTCGTTGTTACAAAAACAAACAATCTCTGTTTCCTCTGGAAAGAAGGACTATAAAGCCTTCTTCTTGGAATAGAGGACTGTGTGTTTCTAAAATAGAAGGGATTGTAACTCTATATGTTGTTCTTCCCAGGTGATGCACGATTGTGTGCGGCTGTGCAGTGACAGGAGACAGGTCCTTGCTACCTACCCTGCCGAGAAGCTAGCCTTCAGCGCCTGTTGCCCCGACGACCGACGCTTCTTCGGACTGGTCACCATGCAGGCCTCCCATGACGACGACGGTCACTATGGCAATGGTAACCGGGAGGAAGAGGGCGGGCTGAGGACTTCCTGTCACGTGTTCATAGTCGACCCCGAACTCTGTCATCACCAGGTAGGGTTGGACAAAAGGTCAAAGAAAAAATACCCACAAACCTTTTCAAAGCTCTCAAGCTAATAATAACATCCGTATTAAACTGCCATATTTTAACATTTACAAACATACAATTTACGAAACTTTAGAAGTTATTTTGAATATTTGTGGGGGGTCCTAGAGTCCTGGGCCCGGTTTCCCAAAAGCATCTTAAGGCTAATTTCATCGTTAGAACCTTCGTAAGAGCATCGTTAAATCTCCGAGCTGTTTCCCAAACCCAACGTTGCACTTGAAAACACTCGTAATCTAACGCCTGCCTCAGACCACTCGTGGAACAGCTAAGTGCGTAGTTAAGATGCTTTTTTGCCCTCCCACGTTACTTTATACACAGAAAATCTCCACTAAACATAGAATCACATGGTTTATCCGTCTCTCTGTGACCGCCGATAACTTCAGAACAAAAGTTGACAAAAAATACAAAGTTGCCAATGTCTTTGCAATTGACACCAAACAAGCGACGTATAAAAATATGCTTCAAATGAAAACCGAGATGACTGCATTAAAATATAAATACATTAGGCTATAGGCCTATTTCAGTCACATTGAAATACATTTGATGTTCAATCAGTTGAGTTCTATTTTGCTACTTGTAGGCTACTGTCTGTCATTTGTCTCAATATATTGGATGATCTGTAGCCTAACATGTAGGCAATGAAGTGCCAAATCGGTGATTTAGTGCGTTTTTATTGGGTAAGCATTAGACTAAGACACCCAGGGCCTCCCGAGTGGCGCAGCGGTCTGAGGCGCTGCAGCCCAGTGCTTGAGGCGTCACTACAGACCCGGGTTCGATCCCAGGCTGTGTTGCAGCCGGCCGCGACAAGGGAGACCCATGAGGCGGCGCACAATTGGCCCAGCGTCGTACCGGGTTAGGGGAGGGTTTGGCCGGCCGGGATGTCCTTGTCCCATCGCGCTCTAGCGACTCCTTGTGGCGGGTCGGGCGCCTGCAAGCTGACTTCGGTCGCCAGTTGTACGGTGTTTCCTCCGACACATTGGTGCGGCTGGCTTCCGGGTTAAGCGAGCACAGTGTGTGAAGAAGCAGTGACGCCTTGGCAGGGTCCTGTTTCGGAGGACGCCTGGCTCTCGACCTTCACCTCTCCCGAGTCCGTACGGGAGTTGCAGCGATGAGACAAGACTGTAACTACATTTACATTTTAGTCATTTAGCAGACGCTCTTATCCAGAACGACTTACAGTTAGTGAGTGCATACATTTTACCAATTGGATAACACGAAATTGGGGAGGAAAAAGGGGTCCAAAAAGAAATACGAATAAGACGCCTGAATATCTGCAGCCGTAAGTGGTAATATCGCTCAAGGAGCTGATCCGTCGTCAGTATTGCGAAATAGTTCTAATGTTAAAGGTAAGATTTGAATTGAGAAAGCTGATCTGAGAGAAGTGCTGCCTTTCTTTCGATCGTGTTAGTATCATGCTCCCAACGATGCGCTTAGCGACTGTTCTCTCTGCGTGGTGTTTTGGGAAACGCGTGTTACGTCTTTGTCCGTTGTATGAAAGATGCATGGTTAAAACACTGGTGAGCCTAAGTTCCATCGCTAGGGGGAAACCGGCCCTGGAGTGTTACCAGTACATCAAGAGGACTTACTGGCCCTGGAATGTTACCAGTACATAAAGAGGCCTTACTGGCCCTGGAATGTTACCAGTACATAAAGAGGACTTACTGGCCCTGGAATGTTACCAGTACATAAAGAGGACTTACTGGCCCTGGAATGTTACCAGTACATAAAGAGGACTTACCGGCCCTGGAATGTTACCAGTACATAAAGAGGGCTTACTGGCCCTGGAATGTTACCAGTACATAAAGAGGACTTACCGGCCCTGGAATGTTACCAGTACATAAAGAGGACTTACTGGCCCTGGAATGTTACCAGTACATAAAGAGGACTTACCGGCCCTGGAATGTTACCAGTACATAAAGAGGACTTACTGGCCCTGGAATGTTTACCAGTACATAAAGAGGACTTACCGGCCCTGGAATGTTACCAGTACATAAAGAGGACTTACTGGCCCTGGAATGTTACCAGTACATAAAGAGGACTTACTGGCCCTGGAATGTTACCAGTACATATAGAGGACTTACTGGTTTAAATTCTTTAACAACTAAAAGGGGGGAGGCTAAATGGGATTTAGGAGGTTTTTCTGTTGATAGCGATGCAGACTGTAAACTGAATATTTATGGCAACTGTAATTCACTACTATAGATAAAACCTACCATAAATACACTAAACGACCATATTTTCAGAGGGGTTGGAATAAGCAAAACATACATTTATCCTTCTCCTTCTTCTTCTCCTCCTTCTTCTTCTCCTTCTCCTTCTTCTCTCCTCCTCCTTCTCCTTCTCCTTCTCCTTCTCCTCCTCCTTCTCCTTCTCCTTCTCCTTCTCCTTCTCCTCCTCCTCCTCCTCCTCCTCCTCCTCCTCCAGGTCCATGTGGGTGTGGCCAGGAGGTTTGGGTTTGAGT